ACAGAGACAACAAAACCCTGTTCAGCTCCTCTTCCGATCGAACGGAATCGCTAGAATAGTTTACATCCACGCTTGAATCTCGAGACTGATTTGAGGATGTCCGTGAGCGTAGAAGAACTGGCCTGGTGGCTTTGCTTGAAGAGGGTTGAATCGAGTTTTTCTTGATCAATATCCCCGGATTGTTATTGGTACTTTTGGATTTTATATCTTTTTTCCAAGAATGGAGCGTGCTTCTGTACTTCTGAATGGCTGCGCATCTTTTGCCGTAAAGGGCCTTTTGTTCAGATTCCAAAATCGGCAAAATATTGGGGTTTAGGGTCACTTTGAAATCATCAAAATTTAGGCCAACAAACGCACAGTTGTCATGATAATCTTCCAAAATAGAGGGCCGTGGTAGCTTTTTTTCATTTATATCTCGGTAAGCAGTTTGCAGAAAATTTTTGTTTGATTCGTAAAATAAATCGAGATTTTCAATAGGCTTGAACCTTGATATTGGGACGCACTCGTCTTTTTCGTTGACCTTGAAGCTGGAGTCGTTGCCATCGGATGGAAAACATTGGGGAAAAGCCATCAGCAATACGGTCTACACAAGGGTGTGTTGGTTTGGACCAAATAAAAAGCTTTAAAAAATGATAAATAAAAATAAGCATCAATTGAACACAAGTGACAATTTAAGTTTCCGAAACTAAAATGTTCTCCAGTGTTATCTCAAACATTGGGAAGCTCGTATGGAACAACGATGGCGACCCTTCGCAAGGACAGTCGCTTGTTCAAATTCCAAATGGCGAATTCCAAATGCTCGTCAAAGGTTCTTTTGTTACAATGTAGCTTTGTCAATTTTATCTGTAGCTATGAATTTGCTGATGCGACGCTTGTGAAAACCGCGAACGAGCAATATTCATATTCCATCGTTATCAGAAGATTATTCGACGAGGATGAGGAGGAATTGCTGAGTGCTGCTCAAAAATCAGGCATTAATGCAAAATCCCAATTTGTAGATCCATTGACTTTTGAGTTCAATTTTCCCATTTGCATGAGCATGAATTTTGCTCGCCATACACAGGGTGTGCCTTGTGATAGAGAAGCCTTTAAATGGACCGACTCTTCATCTGTAAGCTTGTTGGTTACATTGTAGAAGAAAACATATCAATACATCCCGGATGGAAATGTCACTGCCCATTCGCTCCAGCTTTTCCATCTAACAGCGGCCCAATGTTTATTTGAGTGTGAGAACCGAAAAAGCTATGCCTTGGCATCTGAAAAGGAAATCGAATCAATAATGATGCCCAAAGCTTTGATTGCAACTAAAGAGGGGGTGCTTATTTTCGAGACACATTCGGCATCCAATGTTTATCTTTACTCGTTTGACATTTCCTCTGGCCTATTTATATCTGCAACCGGAAATAAGGAAGATTTACCCCCATGTGTGACGGCCTCCATTTACGCAGTTGAAACCTTCCAATGTACGCGTGTACATTAACTCTGTAGATCACCTACGAATCCACGGCAAGGACAATGCAGAGATGCTTTATTATTCACAGAATATCATGCCCTCTGATATTGTGCATGTGGAGAGAGTAAGGTGTTCTTTTTGAATGTAGTCTTCCTGCTCTTTTGTTTGGTGTCATTTGTCCGATTCGGATACCAATTCATCGCTAACTTTTTCCCTCAAATTTGCGATAGAATCGGAAATGTTTTCTTTTTCAAACAACTATGCAAAATGTATCTACGAAATTCTAAACAAAGAACGGGCATCTTGTATCGATCAAAAGGACAAATCCTTCTTGATTGGCCAAGCAGTTCCAATGGACATCGACTATGACACCTCTGAAACCGAATCAGCGTCTTCTGATGACGAAGAGGAAAGTGATGATGAAGGGGAGTTGGCCATCAGCTCTATCTCCGAAAAATTCACGCCCGACA